CATTGTTATATAAAAAAAAGTCTTTTGAATAAAGTTCTGGGCCATTGGGTTTTGATCCAGGCTCTCCTGAGGCTGTCCTATGTTTCTATCTTTCTTCTCATCCTCTAGGTCTCTTTCCTTCTATCTAAATCTCTTATCCCTTACTCCTCAAGAGTACCCTGGTCATAAAATGTGGGGGCTGGTCGCCCACAAATGACACCTGAACAGGGACCAGGGACTTGGCGAAAGGAGTGTCAGGGGGCATAGTGGGTGTAAGGCATGCTGATAATGAATTGTAATGGTGACAGTATTTTATTCTTGCGAGTGAAAGTAAAGTGACTGAAAGATGCCCAAGTTAAAAGTGAGGCTGCAGCAAGTGTCTGTCTCTGTCTATGTTTCTCTGTCTATGTTTCTCTCTCTCTCTCTCTCTCTCTCTCTCTCTCTCTCTCTCTCTCTAAGTTTAGTTATAAGTTATAACTTTAAGTAAATTATAAGTTTAGTTTGAGAAATGTAGGTTTGGGTACATTAGGATAGAATAGGCTTTAGGTATAGAGATATTGTGAAGACTTAGGTAAACTTAAGGTAGGTTTTACTGACCTGGGACACAGAAAGCAGCATCCATAGCAGACTACCAGCTTGGTAGTCAGAGTGGCTTCAGAAGCTCTAGAAGCTGCCAACAATGGTGGATGCCAGAGCCAGTGCAAGTGGCAGCAGCCAGGCAGCAGCATCTGAGACCTGCAGGACATCAGTGCAGCACAAGTGGCAGATGCCCAAGAGACAAGAGTGGGCAGCAAGGGTCTGCAAACTTTCTGCTGAGAAGAAGGCACAGTGAGGAGCCAAGCAAAGACTCTGTGCCACAAGAGAGGCAAATACAGCAGAGAGAGCAGACCCTGGCAGTGAGTGCCCAGCAGAGAAGCCACTAGAGAAGCAGCCAGATGAGCAGCTGAGATGTGCGAGAGCCTAGGGAGCTGTGGAGGTGAGAGCCGCGCTCCAGGCTGAACAACCAGACTGGGGCTCTGACGGAACTGTTGAGACTGATGCAGCCTGAGCTCCTAGCAGCAGGGTATGGCTGGAACCATGGAGTTGCCCTGGGCCTACAATTCAGCTGTGCAAGCAGGACAGCATATGGAGGTTTCTGGGACCCTGGGTGCTGAGTGCAGGGCTACCAGTGAAGCAGGTAATGGGACCGAAGGTAGTAGCTGGGTTTCCTCCTGGAGCCAAGGTTGCTGTAAAATTACCATGGCTTAGCTCATAGCAGCTGGAAAAACCTTGTACCTGTGAGGTGTGAGGTAATTGAAAGCCCTCTAGCCTCAGGACAGACAGACTGGGACTGTGAAAGCTAGGAGCCAAAAGCCTTGTAGTTTCTGTTTGCTGGCTGCCCAGAGAGCTTTTTTGAATGACTCATAACAGCTCAGTTACTATGGCAGTTGCTTTTTCTTGAGGCAAGGTTCTTAGGTGAAGACTGCCATAAAATGCTGCTGTAACTGAAAATGCCTCTGTGGCTGAGAGCAAAAGTTTCAGAGATGCTTGTTTGAACTAAAATTATTAACTGCAAAAAGGTTTTGGTTGTGAGAAATGATTCTTCATATTTGGAAGTGTAAGACTGGTACCAGAATTAATTTTTTGAACTTTTTGGACTTACAAAATGAGATAAAACTACAAAAAGGTTTTGGTTATGCGTTTCTTCATATTTGGAAAACTGGTACCAGAATTTATTTTTTGAACTTTTTGGACTTAAGAAATGGGATGGACAGGAGTGATTTCATTGCAATGAGACAATTTTGAACTTATTTATGCATATAAATTCTATCAATGGTGATGATTTATGAACTACTTTATGAAACTGTTTTTTATGGAACTGTTTATGTAAAAATGGAACTGTTATGGAACTTGTTTTATATTAGCAATGGAACTGTTTAAATGGAGAAGTTTGGGATTTTTTTTCTAATCAAGCTCAAGATACAGTTTAAGAAATTATAAAAAGAGGGGGGAGGAGTTAATATTCCTCAGTCTATTTAATTTTTTTAAATATTTTCTTGTTATTTGAGTGGACTGATGTTAACTTGTGTTAATGTACCCTATGTTTTGTATAGTTCTATTAAGAAATTGCTTTAAAGTATAAAAAGCTTTTCAAGTGTTAATGGTTATATTGAAAATATTGCTTTTGAATGTATGTTTGTTGGAATTATAATTGTATATAGTAATATTTATGTTAGAGTTATTATTTTAACTATTTATATTGATGCACCATGGTATGGTGACGTTAAGGGATTATTTAAGTTTGATGCAGATGCATCAGAAGTTTATACTGTGTTTTGTTAGTAAGAAATACAAATGGTTATATTAAGAGATTGCTTTGAAATGTATTTTTTTTCCTTTTTTCTTTTTTTTTCTTTTTTCTGAGACAGGATTCCTCTGTGTAGCTTTACGTCTTTCCTGGATCTCGCTCTGTAGACCAGGCTGGCCTTGAACTCACAAAGATCCTCCTGTCTCTGCCTCCCAAGTGCTGGGGTTAAAGGCGTATGCCACCACCGCCTGGCTGAAATGTATTTTTGCTAAAGTTTTTAAAGTGTTAATGTTTCTATTAAGAGTTGCTTTTTTTATTTTTTATTTTAAAGATTTATTTATTTATTTTGTATATAGCATGTATGACTACAGTTCAGAAGAGTGCACCAGATCTCATTACAGATGGTTGTGAGCCACCATGTGGTTGCTGGGAATTGAACTCAGGACCTCTGGAAGAGCAGTCAGTGCTCTTAACCTCTGAGC